AGTTAAATAGAATCTCTATTGGCTGATAAAATTGTTTTTGGTCGGTCTTAAGGTTCATTATGCTTAGCTTTGAATGGATTGAACGTTGACCAAATAATCAAGGTTTCCAATGGCGGCTTACAAATTCTGTTTTTCATTTTAAAATTATGATATATCTAATGAACATAAAAAAATAAATTATTGTTTTGTAGGTTAGAAATAATATCCTCAATCTCATAATTTTTAGGAGAAGTTTGTTTTGCTTATTCTGAAAGAGGAAAAGATTGTTTATTGTTAATTAATAAATAAAAACAAGAAAAATAATTTTTTAGAAAAAAAAACAAATAAAAAGTGTACCCCAATTGTTTACTTTTTTTAAAAAAAAAATAGAAAAGTATATGCAAAACACTTTTTTTAAGAATAAAATGCAAAACACTTATTATGTGGTACTTTAAATTAATTCATTTACATTATCATAACTAGTTATATATTGGATTCTAATTTTATTTAAGTAATGTCTTTAGGATAATCATTGTACGGAAATTATATTTTTTAGATTAAAATTTGATTTTTTTTTCTCTTAAAAAATTAATGTGAAATTAAGTAGAGATGTCTTAACCAACCTAATTATCCAATTATTATAATAAATTTGTTTTATTTCTCATGATTTTATTCAACGTAAACATTGGCACGAAAACAACTCTCTTTTCAAATCTTTTCTTTCAAGTTTTTATTTTTAAGAAATAGTTTTAATTTAATAGATTATTAAAAACTATTTTAAATTCTTTTTTTAAGAGAGAAAATTTATTAGATTGAAATGACTTAGGAAGATAATTATTTTCATGCCCTATTTTCAAAAAGAAAAAAAATCTTACTAAAAAAAGCCCTTTTTTTAATGTGTTATTAATTTAATACAAAATTTCCAAAAAAAAAAAAATCATGGAAGAAGAAAAAAATATCAAAAGAACAATCAGGGAGGAGCTATTGCTACTAATGAGAATTGACAAAGTCTAGTTAAGTGATAATTNACATCACCACCTATATAGTCAAAAAAAAAAAAACAAATTTAAATTCTAGAAACTTTATCCTTACCATTTATTAAAGTTTAAGATTTAATTTGATAAATAAATGCGATGGAGGTTAAATTTACCTTATTTAGGGTTAAAAAAAACTTCTCATTATCCATATACAGGTTAAATATATCAAAATGGTCTTCTAATCTTTGAGTTAATTCTCCCATTATTTATTGGGTTTTTAATATTTTAAAACTCTTAATTTTATCCTAAATATATTTAAAATCTCTCAATTAGGTTTTTCTGCAAGAAAATCTATTAAAATTTGTTTGTAGAATGCTTGTATGTCATTAAATTATTAATTTTTTTTCAAGAATCAAGATATCATAGTTTACACAAATTGATCCTTATATATAATCGGAGCTTGTTGCTTGGGTTGAGTAATATTGTGACCTACTCAGAACTTAAACTGAGACTTTAAGATAAGTGGGACTACAAAGCTCCAAGCACTACTTGCTATTCTTCCCCTCTCACGATTTTCAAAGGGTTGGGAAAGATGGTCTTTTCCTGACATTTTTTTAAAAAACATTGGGAATGACCTTTCCCGATGCACTTTGTCCGATGCATTTACTTCGTCAGGAAAAGTGGCTCCCCACATTTTAAAGGTTTTTCCCTATGTTTTGAAATGTCGAGAAAAACCTTATTTTTTGTAGTGACATACTTGGATATATATAGACATGCCACTCGAAAAAATGAACTTTGTGTGGATAGGCGGCCAAATTTTGATGATGGGCAAAGATTGTATTTTATGTATCAAGTAGTATAGAGTGGCGTGTCTACGTATCCAAATATGTTATCAAAGGCAATAATTTAATAACACGTCAACTTTTTATTAAAAAATTTTAATAAATTTCTATGTAAAAAGATGCATAATTGAGAATTTTTAATAAATTTAGCAGTAGAAATGAAAATTTTTTAAATTAAGGAATAAATTGAATTGCCTAATAGATTAGAAACCTTTAGCAATGCCAACCTTTTGAGCTTTGAGTGTAGTAATTTGGCCTATAAAATCCCAAGCAATCAACACTTGTAAACATCAACATTTTCTTCCCCTCCCTCCATCTCTCTAATTCACCTTTAAAACTTTTTCTTCCACAAAAAACCTCCTCTAATTTTCCAATGGGAAAATATTTTCAAGCCATATGCAAATACATCATTCTTCTTGTACTCTTCATCTCTATCTCCTTTAAAACTCTGCAGTTTTCTCTAGAAAACAAAGAGCCTCTCCCTTCTTCCACAACACAAGCTGGCTCCAGCCTCAGCTTCTCGGCTGTCGTTTACAAGGACGATTTTCGACCTACGGCGCCCGGGAGCAGCCCCGGAGTCGGCCACCACTCTTTTCAGCAGGGAAGGAGAAATATGGAGGTTGTGGCTGCATGGGGTGATCAGGCTCTTCAGCACATAACTGCAAAATACAAACTTAAACCCCTTAATTAGGGTTAATTTGGCCAATATTGATATCTATATATTTTTTTTTGTTGAAGTGGGTCACTCTCTATTTGATGCATGATGAACTACTCTGGGTTGTTTTTTGTTTCCTTTTGTTTAAATTATCTGATTTGGAAGTGTGGTTTTTTTTTCTTTTGGTCATCAATGGTATTGTATGTTTGCATGGTAATGGAGAATTTAATTTCCTCCCTATAAACTTTATATGTTTGAAAGCTTCAAATTTATGCGGTGTTATTTCTCTCGTTTAATTTCAATAAGTCACTCAACTAATTAAGATATTATATCTTCGAAGATCAAAGATTCAAATCTTTACTTAATTCTAAAACATGTAGAACAAAAGAAATATATTATAACATGACGTGGTAGGTATTACGCTCTACCGTACATTTTATTTGGTTCTTTTGGATCTTTCAAGGTTGTGTTTGAGGACAATTTTATATTTATAATTTCTATTTTTAAACATTAAACTTATGTATCATCCATTTCTGTTTCCTTTGTGTTAAAGTCCCTTTAAATTTTTAGTTAAGGGGTTTTTTAAAAAAAAAAACTTTTCTTAAAAAGAAAATTGTTGAGATATTGAGAGTGTTTTTAGAAGTTATATTCAACTAAAAAAAATAGGAAAGCATAGGCTTGTAAGCTGTTTTCAAAGGAAAAAAATAAAAACCAACGATAAAATATTGTTGCTAAATGGGTCCTGTTTTTTATTTTAAAAAAATTTGGCTAGAATTTTAAAAACATTTCTAAAAAGTAGATTACAAACAATTTTAAATCTATTGTTGCGGTGTTCTTGAAAAGTAAAAATAAAATAAGATAAATTTAATATAACAAAAAAATGTGTGATAAAGTTGGCAAAAAAAATTGTTCTAGGGAGAAAAAGGTGAGTGAGAGAAAAATTTGTAGATTTTAATTAGGGGAAGACGTGGAAGAAAGTATGTCTTATGTTACCGAGATCAAATCATATAACTCAATTGGTAAATGTATTTCGTACCTCCCTGAAGCAGGATCAAATCTTCTGACTTTTTGTTGAACTAATAAAATTATGATTAAATTACTATTTTGATTTACTACTTTCAGCTTTCGTTCATTTTGATTCACGTATTCTCAAAATGTGTTCATTTTGATCTATACAAATTATTACGTTACAATTTGACAAGTGTAGCTTCAAATTAAATTAAAAAGATATTAGAAACTGGCTCAAGGTAGCAAAAGTCTAACGAAGTTAGGGCAAAACTACATTAGTGGAAAGTAAATTAGCCCAAGTCCATCTGAAGCCTATTGAAAACCAAATAGAGCGGTCAACATTCAATTGATCCCTTAAGAAAATCAATTATATTTAAATTTCTTGTTCTCAAAATCACTCACTCTACCATTACTCTCAAACATAATCAAAGTCGTTCTACCCAAAACATATCATACTAACATAAATGTTATCCCTACTTTCCTATCTCTAATCGATGTGAGATTATATTTGCAACTCTAACCAACTTCTAGTTAGTAGCAAGGTATTCAATATTTGTCACATTTCCATCCAATCCACAGTTCCATAGTATCACAAAGTAATCGACCAGAGATAAAAATATCAACAAAATATTACTAATATAAACATAATAATAATTTTTAACTTATTTAAAAAAATTGAAATGTTTATGTCGTTAATATAAATATTTGCTATGAATTTTTGTTTTTATAATTTTTTTTTATAAATATCCATGACATTTCCATAAAATTGACTTCGGTATTTATATCCATATCGCCGTCTAAAACCTTAGTACTCACGTCTATGTTAATGACCATTTGCCAACTGAAAATCTCAAGGAAATGGAAACAAGACCACTAAGTGCATTTGCTATTCGATCCCATTCCGGATCCCACCCTATTAAACTCAAAAAAAAAAGAAAAAAGCCAACATTTAGAGGGGATCAAACTAGAAGATAAAAGCCTATTTGGTTGGAAACTTGGATTTTATTTTTTATTTTCAAATTCACTTAATCAAATGGATTCAGTTAATACGCATTTGGGAGGATTTGAGAAATTCGTTGTTTAAAACTGTTTTCAGATTGGTTGGGAACTTGTATTGCTCTTGAACGCTGACAAACGATGACCAGAAATGTGAAGATAATTGAGATGGGGCAAATTTGAGAGGTAGAGCAATTGCCTTAATCTTCTTCCACCACTTCCAAACTATGTATAAAATTAAAAAAGATGAGGAGATAAGACAATTCCTCCGTAACCCAAATTGAATCCTAAGTTAGTTCAAACTTGGAGCTCCAAATCTAGATAAAAGAGGGACAAAATGAAGAAGTACAAACTTAGGTACCAAACACATATCTGAAAACACTGAAAACAAATAATACAACTCATGTTTTGCTTTCAGATTTCTGTTTTCTGATTACCAACCAAACACACCCTAAAACTTTCATGTCCTCCAATGTCAAACCATCATATCATCGCAATAACCCAGAATCATCATCATATCAAACACCCAGATATTGGAAATCCTTGAAAGATAAAAGGAATACAAACTTTTTTTTTATAACGGAAAGTTCCCCCTATACTCAGGGAGACCTATACCCGCCCTAAGGCTCAGATCCAGGAGACAAAAAAGAATACTAACTTGAAGCAAACAAAATTTAATACATTATACAGAGCTGTTTTTCTCAAGAAATAACTTCAGAATTCTTTTTCTGCGGGAAAGGACTGTGGCCCTCAGTGTAAAATATTTGAATGCACGTACAGATGACTAATAAAATTAGGGGTGATAATGAATAGCTTGTTTTCCACTAGACAATGAGAATGGAAAACTTTATGGTGCCCCCATGTTTTTTGATTTATAAATTTGGAGGCGGTAAATGAATATGAGCTTCAGGTAAAGAAAAAATTACCCCTTTTGGAATATGAAAGCATTGCCATCCAATCCATTTTTGTTCTCAACACTGCGTTAATATTTCTGCTCCATCATTGGTTATTAAGATGGTGTGCTCAAATTGTGCTGATAGGCTTCCATCTTCTGTTACAACCGTCCAGTTATCGTCCCACATGACGGGATTTATGCTACCAATAGTTAGCATTGGCTCTGCACAAGATTACCAAAAAAATAAACAATGGTGCAAGATGAATGAAGATATGGCTTTTGATGTGAACAAAATTATGCCTAATGTACATGCCAACCAGAGCTTTGAACTCTGTTAAGACAAAGAGAACCTTATGGCTTTAGTGTTAATTTCGTAGTTGAAGAATCCCCCAAGGGACAACCCAATTGGCAAGGATTTGGGTCTCTTAGTCATATTAGTTTAGAGGTCTCAAGTTCGAACTTTCTGGTGAGCTTAATACCAAAAACCCTTGATGTCTCCCGCGTCCAAGCCTTGAGACGGACTCGGGTGCCCCTGAGTATAGGGGAGCAAAGCACTAACTCCCACTCCCAATTCTAAAAAAATATATAATAAAATAAAATAAATATTCGTAGTTGAAAATGTGCAAAAGGCCCAACAACTGATAATCAATATCTAATAGGAAGGAAATGACATTACAAGAGTTCGAATACAGGATCTCCAACTCTACCATGTTAAATCACCAATCAATCCAAAAGCTTAAGCCAATGAATTACGATAAATTTAATCTTTTATAAGTACCTTTAACATACGTCCTTGCAAGTCTGAGACTTGAAAAATACTATGCAAACCCCTTTTTTTTTAGAACAATATGCAAGCCTTAATTCTTTTGTAATATGAGCTTACTTTTATATTTGGCAAGTAAAGAGTGAATAAGTGAAGAAATAAAGGCTACTATGCATAATTGAATATTCTTTTCATCGGTTGGTGTAACACCTTATGCTTGCTCAATCATAATCGAATGGTTGATTAAACAGAGGACTGATTTTCTTGAGAAAGGAGAGCATCAATAAAGTGAATCTAGAAGGCGAAGGAAGAAAAGTAAAAAATGTGAACTCACTCAATTGAAGCTACGACCATTTGATTTACTCATCTAAAACTGATAAACCCGGAACTTGAACCTTAGCCAAAAGTGACTAGTTATTATCACGATCTATAAGTTTTGAATGTCTACACACCAAACCTTATAACACAAGAAATGTGACGATTATAATGTAATCAGTAAGGTGCTATGGGCCGTTAACCCCATGTTATAACTAGACATGCTCAATTTCCTGAGTGCGCCCTTCAATATCTAAAAACTTGACCACTCTAACATAAAATAATAATAATAATAAAAAAAAAGGCTGAGTTTCAAGCTGGACCAATGAAGTGACTTTGATTTTGCTTGGATGAAAAAATTTTAGTAGAGGCCATAAGTGTGACAAGAAGCTCTAGGTGATAGCATGACAATTAGCAGGTTGGGAGCTCTAGAAGTCCTTCATTAACCATTGTTAAATTTAGAAATAGGCTAAATTACAAAAAAACACTCCTGAACTTAGTCATTTGTTTCAGAAGTATCTCCATTCTTTCAAAAGTTTCAGTACGACCCTTGACCTTTCATAAATGTTTCAAAAATACCATTGGAGCAAAGATCCGTTAATATTTTAAACAAAAAGTTGACATTGTAGAATCTAGAACAACGTGACAATTATCGTAGAAGAATAGAGGAAATATAGAAGAAGGTGTCGTTTTAAAAAGGAGAATTAGGAAAATTAGGTAGACAATGAAGATGCAAACACTCTTACAGTGGAGGAAAAAGACTTTTGGGGTAAAATTAGGACGTTAATTGTCACGTCATCCCAAATTGTTGCACATCAACTTCCCATTCAAAATATTAAGGATGTTTGCTGAAGGGTATTTTTGAAGCATTTATGAAAGGTCAAGATTGTATTGAAACTCTTGAAAGGATAGGGATATTTTTTAAACAAAGGGGCAAAGTTCATGAGTATTTTTTGTAATTTAGCCTTGGAAATATTATCTAGCAGTATTCACTCCGCAGGAAGGGCAATGGACATCAAATACTTTTCCAGAAAGATGGTTGGCTTGAAGATTCCTGCAAATTGTCCCTTTTCGTAGCTATAGCCTAACCATGAGGGGGAAGTCCATAATTTTGTGTGTACTAAGAAGCCAGCAGTTAAAAATTTAAGTTCAGGAATCAGGATGCGGCTGAATTTCAACTGAATGATAGAGAGATGAAGTTCTATAGACTTCTTTAACTTGGGAGTATTTGCTGCGAGCTCTGATTTCTTCTCATTGAATACTTTGCTTTATAAGCTTATGATGGATGGGTTTAGCCTCAAATGTCCTTTTCTGTAAGGTCCTCACTAATGACTTTCACATTGCATAAATTACTTATTGCAGATGTCATTTGCATGTTTCAAGTAATCATCAAAAGAAAAAATTATATATAAATATATAGTACAAATTGGAAAACTAAAACCAGTTGAAATATAGTACCAATTGTGAAGGTTTGATTCAACACCATCCGCCCACCATCATTGTTCCCTGAAAAGAGTAAGAAAGCATGCTCGAGTATCCAACAAAAATTTTCATTTTTTCATGTGCTTGGTTAATTAATGTAGGCAGTACAATGCAAAAACACAATCTGAAGACGGGAAATCTTTTCTTGAACAAATTATACAGGGAAAAATGCACCAAATAGATTGATAAGGTTCTACTATGTGTCTTCGTAAGAAGCACGAACACTTCAATTTGGGTGACGTGTCTAACGGATACATGTTAAACACTTGGATACTCAAACACTTATTGAATGCATATTAGACACTCGGTAGCTCAATAAATGTGTCACACACAAGTGGTACAAAGTGAATATAAATCTGATGCTTGTTTGTCAAACCTAAGAAATAAACACAAATAGTAATACATGACAACATAATAAATTTTGAGAGTAAAATACATCAAACTTATTTTTTAATCATAAAAATGCATAAGTTTACTGGCTTTGAATTTTTCTTGTACAAAAATGATATATACTTTAAAAAATAGTATATTTTAATGAACACATCATTGCCATGTACATGTCCTAGATTTTTAGAAGATGATGTGTCATCATGTCTCTGTCGTGTCGTATCCATGCTTCTTGGATGCCTTCTCCTCTCAAAACAAATAATTTTTCAATATTTTTTAAAACAAAACAGTGCCGTCTATGATCAAAAGAGAGGCGATCTACACTTGGTGTGGATTTTCTGACTTTATTACACTTTTATAAAAATAAATTATTTGCTATGTTATAATCAACAATGTTTGACAAAACAGTATAGATACAAGAACCACAATACAGAGTAAAAGCGAGCATCTAAAGAATGGGATACTTACTGAAGTGAAGAATAACTGGATCCGCATGAAACACACGTCCAACACCATGGCCAACAAACTGTCGAACGACACCATAGCGATACTTGTCTGCATGGTCGCTTGATTAGAGAAACAAAGGAAAATTTATGAGAGGAGATTTTCATTAATTTGCAAGATATCATTTTGTAACAAATTAGTCTTGGATATATGAACCTCGGAATTTATTAACATCAACATAACAATTAACAAGTGTAAAGGTTTTTTCAAGTATCTTGTAACGATTATCCAAATAACTAGTATGATTTAACACAATTTAGTGGTTTTCTTACTGAATTATTTTGCCAATTTTCTTGAACTCCACTCCTGGTGCGCATATGGATATTGCTTTATCTAAGCACTCTTTAGTCACCTAAAGCAATAATTGAAAAGTAAAAAAGAAAAATCTCAAAACTTCTTCTGAAGGGGCTGCAGAAAAAACATCATCTCTTAAGAAAACAAGCAGCCATAAGTACATCACTGTAGTGAAATATCCAACGGCTAATACTAATGGGAAGCTATACAGTTTGATAATATAAATTCATCGTCAATTGTCCAAGCAGTAGATCCAGTGCTCAAAAGAATTCTCCTTATTTTGCTAATCTCGGTGATAATAAAATTTTACAATATGCTAACTTAAGTAATCTTCTTCTTTGGATCAAATCTATTGCACAAAAAATTTTAATTCAAACAGCTGTATACAACATTGTTGATCCAATAGTAAAGAATGCCTGGAGTAAGCTTCCCTACGATGAACTCCTCTCATCCAGGTAGCACATATGAACACTAACAAGAATTTAGTGAGAATAGGAAACGAGGTTTTCACCAGTAGTTTTGATCGAAATACAAGGGTAGAGTAGTAATTCAGATTCTTGAGAACCCTCTCCAATGTTCCTTCCCCATCTTAGTTGAAGGAGTTGGTTTGGATATCATATACCATTGACGACTTCTTATTAAAGCCACAAGCTCAGAAGTTCTTCAGAAAGTCCCACTACAATCAATGCCTACATATGGATTTTAAAGACAACTAACAAAAGAGGCAACTTTACAAAAATCACGAAAGTTATGAAATCAGGTGGTAAATCCAATATTGTGGTCCTATGGGGACGGGATCAAAAGAATGGGGAGCTTTTCGAACAACTCTCCTAGACTTTCTTAATTGAAAATATCCCCCACAAAAAGTTGTAAAGTGCTTTGGTCAAAAAGGAGACCTCCTAAACATAGGGAGTTAAACCTGAACGCAGCTGGTGTCGTCCCTTCCATTATGAAATGAGGTGGGAGAGAGAGTAAAGGAGACAGCCATTTGCCGGGTGGGAGAGAGAAGCCAAGTTAGTTTTTGGAATGATAGATGGCTTGCACAGGGCACCTTTGCCTCTCTTTTTCCAAGACTTCACACTCTAGGTACGAACAGGGGAGCTACTATTGAAGATCATTGGTCAAGTACTACTTGGAACTATAATCTTCGCAGACCCCTAAAGGAAGAGGAGATTGAGGATTGGTTGCACTTATCCAAATTGCTCAGCCCAATTGTGCCCCCCTCTTGAGGGTCGTTGGCCCCTAGAGCCATGGGAGTGTTCACCACTAAATCAGCCTTTAACCTACTCAACACTCACCCTGTACAATCGGCTCCCTCGCTCAACTCTTGCCTATGGCAAGGAAAATGCCCCAAGAAAATCAAATTTTTTTGCTGGGAGCTCATCCATGGGGCTCTAAACACACATGACAGAATACAGAGGAAACACCCTTACATTTATCTCTCCCCCAACTGTTGTCACCTCTATTTTGGAGCTTCGGAGACACAAGGCCATCTCTTTATTTTGGGCCCTTTTGGCATGCGCTTTGGAACTGTATCCTCTCAGCTTTTGGATGGTCTACAATCCTCCATGCACAACCAGACATTCTTCTTGACTGTTTCTGGCGGGCCATCCTTTGAGAAATGGCAAAGCGATCCTATGGGTTCAAATCGTTCGGGCATTCCTTTGGTCTATTTGGTTAGAAAGGAATTGCAGGGTGTTCAAGGACAAAACTCTCTCTTTTGAAAACTTTTTTGATAGAGTTCTTGTTTTAGCATTGGGTTGGTGTAAATGTTTCTACCCCCTTCAACAATTACTCTCTTAATGATCTTATGACAAGTTGGAGAGCTTTCTTGTAATTGCCTTCAAGGCCTTTTGTATATTTCATACTATCAATGAAATATTTTTTTCATATCAAAAAAAAAAAAAAACCAAGCCTACCAAGGTGTGGAGTTCTATTATTTGCAGAAATGACTATCTTATCATCCTAGCTCAAGCATCACAAATCCATGAATCCAAAAGGTAAACAAGTAGCATTTATATCTAAGGAAAAAATGGAAATTTTCCAATCTTGCAACACTCTCACCTTAGTATGTAGTTCAGCCAAATTGAATCTTGTCAGACAAGAATTTAAGCTAAATAAAACACAAAGTTCTAGACGGATCCTTGCAAAAAACCAACAACTTTTTCTATTGAAATATTATCTTTTTTTTTTTTTGACAAAATTTTATCGAAACATTATAAAAAATACATATAACTACTTATTTAAAGATGACAAGAACAACAAGACCATATCCAATTGAAATTGACATAGCTACTCTTTAACAAAAGAAAAGAAGAAAAATCTACCCGGACAAGTTTTCTGGCTTCATCATCAACATCTCCACAAAAGAAAGTTGCTGAAGTATCACCATGGTACCCCTACAATTTACAATCACAGAAATAGTTTTAACAGCGATGATTAATGCTTCATTTGATGCTTCCCCACCTGTCTAGATGAGTTTTATGTATGAATGTCCATATCATATGTGAAAACAAGTGTATGAGTATCAGCTTATGAGACACTTCACAATGGCCACCCATTAAACTACACAATTCATAGCTCTGCAACAACAAGATAGCTTTGAAATCCCAGCATTAAGGTCATAACTATTTAGATGCCCAAGCTCCACATATGATCTACAATTCAAAAAATAAGAAATAAATAAAAAGAATAATCAACAAATTCATGGATATGAATGTGTTAAAAGCTATTAGCTCATGGCCTTTCCTAAACAATGAGCCGGCCCACTAGTATTTTTAAAGCCTTTCTTTCAGATCCTATTTATTAGGCTCACATGTGTAGATGGTTCCTTGTAAGACTTTATTTCCATTTTTCCCTGCCGTTTTACCATTAATTTAGAGTGTATAAACTAGGAATGTACTGTTTTGTATTTTATGATGGACTAATATGCCAGAGCCTGATCAAAGGTTATGATAGAACCTGCTCTATTATTTATGTATAAGAGGGGAAATTTACAGGGCCGAGGGAGATTCGAGAGCTCCCCGCACCCCTCCCTCAGAGCGGAAGCTGTGTTTATTTCCTTAACTTATCCAAGGCCACCAAAGTTCCTAGGGGGAGTGACAATATCCCACCTGACTTGATGTTAGCTATCATCATGGAGAGCACCTTTTGACAAGAAAGATGCACCCCTTTGAAAATATTATTGTTCTTCCACATATCAATTATTTGCTCAATTTTCTTTAAGACCATGTTCCAAAAGGAGAGAGCCTTAAAGATTCCCCCCAATAGACATTCCAGGGCAGGTTAAAGGGAGAAGAGCTATTTTGCAGTTCCAAATGAGTTTCTGCCCTTATGTCCGTGCTTAGTTCAGTTTCTGTCCTCCATGAAGTTGATCGAAGAATATGGTCCTTGGAACCTTCTGGTGTTTCTAGAGCAGCTTCCTTAAGTAGGCAGAAGGTTTCCCCTCCTTTGCCTAAAGACCTTTTTACTGCTCTTTGGAAATCAAAGAGTCCAAGAAAAGTTAGCATCTTTCCTTGGATTCTTCTCCGGGGAAAGTTAAACACAGTTGATATTCTCCAAGGGAAGCTTCCCTCCTCAGCTCTTTGTCCTTCTTTTTGTGTATTATGCACTGCTAGGGGCGAAAGTATTAATCACTTATTCTTTCATTGTTCCTACGCTATGCAAGGTTGGAAGTTTCTCTTCTGTCAGTTTAATCTGGGCTGGGTTTTTTATTCTAAGGCAACCTGTTGCATCTCCTTCATGGGATTGCTTTTCCTTCCTCTTCGATTAGATTTCTATGGATTAATGCCATCAAGACCCTACTTTCGGAGTTTTGGTTGGAAATGAATTTGAGGATTTTCGAGGGAAAGAGTTCATCCTTGGTTGATTGCTTCAATGCAGCTAAGTTCAAAGCTTCCAAGTGGTGTTCCTCATCGGATTCTTTTTCAAATTATTCATCCACTCTATTTTCTAAAAATTGGGGAGATTTATTTTTCCTTCGTAGTCCATTGTTGTTGTTTTTTATGCTTATTTTTGCGTTTTTCAATCTTTCAAAAATTTGTATCTTTGAACAATTTTTGTTCCTTTTCATTTCTTCAATGAAAATTTTGTTTCTTGTTTATAGAAATGTCTAACACCATGGACATACCCGTATCGTGTTCAACAATCATATACTTTGAAAGGTTCATTTGAGATCCAAGGTAGCTTTAAGGGTATTAATGAGAAAGATAAGTTTTCTGATCTTCAAGCCTTCAAGGAAGGAGAAGAAAAGGCTGTAATCTACAAGTTTAGGAGATGTGAATATCGTTGCCTCCACCCACAAAACTTTCAAAAATTGAAATAAGAACTTGTAGAAAGAAATAGCAAAATAAGCTTATATAAACATTACATTCTCAAGCATAGTGCATAAAATTAAAGGAACCAATGTATAAGGTCAAAGAAAGGTCAGTTTAAAATATCTAAAGCTTCAAATATGCATTCTTGTACTGTTGTTAAAACAAAGTAAGGTCAAAGTTGAAAGCCCTTACATTTAGATAGACGGTAACGTCTATATTGATAATATCACCATCCTGGAAAAAATAAACCTGACATCTCAATTCATCATCATAAAAGCAAGCTATTTATTTTTGTTGATGTAACTAAGAGTTCATATAGAAAACCTCAAGAACTCTGGAATCTGGAATTCCATGGCAGATGCATTCATTCAATGATGTGCATACACTCTTTGGAAAACCACCGTAACCCAGAGGTGACGGATAGGCCCCATTATCAATTATCATTTGATGAACAGCCTGGTCAATATCATCAGTCATAATACCTGGCTGCCAATAGAAGCAAGAATCAAAATTTGGGCACATAAATAGTGGTGATTTATCAATTGGTGCATCATTAACTATAGCTAAACAACAAGTGGTTTAAACCTAAAAACAGAAGGAATTGGTACGTTTAATTGCTTTTTCTTGGATAAGAAACAAGTAAATGAAAAAATGGAATTACCAAATGAAGTGCTGACTATGTGTCAAACTTGATCTTGAGCTGAGAGATTATAACAACAGTCTTCAACTTACCAATGTGAAAAGAGGAAATGACAAAATTCTTAAAAGTTATATGCCCAAGAAGAGGAATTAAGTTAAGAGTCTAAGACACACACGCTACCAAACCTCAATATTTCACCCATAGCCTGCTAACAAACAATTCCATTCCTCATTCTCAAAACTTCCCAAAATAATAGCTTGAGTAGCATTCAGTATTATAATCTTAGCCTTGTCATTTGAAGGAATCAAAGACATTTAAGCAAGGAGATCGACCCCAAAGAATGCAGGAACCAGACTGCGATTACATGCCACATTCATTATTGACAAAGTCTCCTATTTCAGAAAGAGAACAATTTAAATGATTGAAATGCATAGAGGGATGCCCCTTTTGAATTTTTCCATCTGTGTTGGCTTCAACTGTCCAAATGAAGAAAAAATTCTTCTTGGGGACCTTCAACATTAAAATCTATTTGATAAAACCTAAAGGAAGCATATGGCTTTCATCCACTATTCTTGAGGGCATGTTTTGGAGAAAGGTAAAAGATTAAGGGCTTCTCGGAAATGATGTAATTTCAGATTTTAGATCTTGGTTAGGCCACTTGGCTGAAAAGGAACAAGCATATTTAAAAAGAATAAATAAGAAACTAAATCAGAGAATTGGAATCTATTTGGAATAGCTGTCATTATTTATCTGTCTGCCAAAATATGTACACTTGTTAGATTTGAGCATTACTTTTTCCCTAATGCACTCTATATGGTTAAAATTTCTGTAAATCATGTAACTTAATATTAATATTGTCTTCGATAAAGCAATGGACATAAAAGAAATTAGAGCAAATAGATACATTTAATCTATTCCTCCATGGGCCAAAATAGGCAGAAATATACCTTGACTAATGTCCCCGCATATTCTAAAACTTTGGCTGCAAGCCTCCCAGAAGCTCTCATACACTCTATACCCTTCTCATCATGCACCTCAGGTCCACTAGCAATTCCAGGTGGTCGCTTAGATTTGACATAAGGAGGCCTTGGTATATTATCCGGAACAGGTCGACGAGGAGAAACTTTTCCAGGTCTTAGACGTTTACGTTTCATATTTTGCGTCTCGTCCAAATTTCTATCAGTTTCAATGATAAGATAATGGTCCAACACTATTTGGAGATCAACATATTCTTGTACTTACAATATGCAAAAAGTAACAATAATGGATCCAATTCTCAAGCATATTCGTTATAAAGCTCCATGTCAACTAAAAGTGTTGTGATCACAAAGGCTAAATCCAGATATGATTCCTAACAACCATGTAGTCCATGATAGGTACTTAATTATATGCTTGTGTTGTGAGTGCACACGTCCACCATTCACATTGTGCAAGTGTAATAAGCACATATGTACACATATATAAGAATGTGTTAGAATACCTTATAAAGTAAAATTTTGGTAGTGGTAGTTTTTGGTTAAAATTATAAAGCGCAATAACAATTTTACCGATTAGAACTTAGAAGTTCAATAACCAAAAGGAGTTTGAGAAATTCTAAAGATAGATAAAATGCACTCCAAAGTGTTCGATAAAGCATTTAACTAGTTTTCTTCTAAACGTACTTTTAAAGAACTTTTTTTCTTATAATAAAATAAAACCCATCATAACAAATGTAACTTGGAACTTTCGTCACAGACCATCATTTGAAGTTCACAAATCACGGATGTGTGGTATCTAATGTCAGGTGAATTAAAGGAATAGCATACATCCTGGCTTGTATAAGTGAAAGATACCAATTCCACAGAAACGTAAACTTCAAGCAACGAGAGCACAAAACTCTTCGGCCTCATACCTTCTATTGAACAAGAGGTTGGTTAATCCAGAAAGCGCCCTGGGTAGTTGCATTGAGACATGTTTGCGCCCTATAAAACAACATAGACACTGCCTCAGCTTTACCCAGATTTCCCACTCCAAAGAAAACGTAAGCAGTCAAAAGCAACAATCATAAGTTTTAAACGATAACCAAGTAGCTTGAAAAACCACTCTAATTAATGAGTAGTTAGATTCTGAACAGAGGTAGCAAACGCATTAGGGCAAATTATCACTGGAGCAAATCAGGAAACAGTTGAATTAAAAAGGGTTGTTGGGCAAATGGGTGGAAATACAAATTTCAAGAAAGAACAAGATTAAGAGAGAGATGTTGATGAAAGAGGAGCAGAAAAGGAGCTAAGGAAAAGAAATGAAGAGGAGCGAGAGAGAAGAAGACCTGGATTACAGCTGAAGACATGGTGAAGAGGCAGCCGAGAGTGAAGAAAATGGTTTGCGCCAACTCCTAGAAAAGATGAGACGAGTCTTGATTCTCCATACAGAGCGCCCACCATTTTCGCTCTCTCCCTCACTCAATCTCTGTCTCTGAAACAGTTTAATAGTTTATCTTATAGGCTATAGCTCTTAAAAATATATATATAAAAATTTTAATACAACAAAACGTGGATGGAAATTCCAATAACTTTTAGTCGGCATATGCACTTAAATTGGTAAATAAATAAAAGTAATATCCCGAAAAGAAATGTAAGCTAAATACGATGTTTTAAATTTAACCTAGAGCAAAATATTTTAGTCATTGAGATACGTTGATATATATGCTTATATATATATATAAATAAATTTTTAATACAACAAGAATATGAATTCGAACCCACAAACTTATAATCTAAAATATATGTATTTGAACTATTTTTAAGTTGGCAAATAAAAATCAAAAACAATGTTTCAAAAAGAAATGTGGGCTAAATAATATGATGTTTTAAATTTAACATAAAGCAACATGTTTTAGTCGTTGAGATATGCTCATATATATGCTTATATACATAAATAAATTTTTAATACAACAATACATAAAGATGCGGATTCGAACTCACAAACTTATAGTTCAAAATATATGCATTTGAACTATTCTTAAGTTGGTAAATAAATAAATAAAAAGCTAAAGCAATGTCCCAAAAAGAAATGCAGTCTAAATACGGTGTTTTAAATCTAACCTAGAACAAGATATCTTAACCAGTTGAGATATGTTTATATTAGCATGTCAACGATTTAATTGTAAGGGTATACATTATGTGCATCTATATAAATGAAGTTATATTCAACTTATTTATAATACAATTTACTTTTTTTTATATAAATTATAATACAATTTACTTGGTTTATTTTAATCTTTTTGTTTGGTATAATAAATATGGAGATTGATTAAATATCTGACTTTGAAAGGAGTTATCTGAACTTATTCTTATTAATTCTAGGGATTTAGAGTGTCATATCTCACGTTATCTAGAATTACAAAGTAGTGTTGTCTATAATTACTAGACGCCATTGAATCTTACAAAATGATTTTATCTTAAATATGAACAAGTTTTGAGAAATTATTTTGAAATATTGACTTGAATCCCACCTGTAAATGTTTAAAAAATTAATTTATAATTAGTATTGTTATTGTTTTTATTCTCAACTTTTGTGCAGGGTTATAATTTTTAATTATTACTGATTTTTTAACTTATCACTTTAATATGGTTATTCATTTATTTTGTCTCGAAATAATTGTGTTATCTTTATTTTCTAATTTTTCTAAAATAAAAATGACATACTTTTAATAAAAAAAAAATGTTAAAAAATAATCTACAATCAGTATGGAAATATTTTATTGGAGACCAATAAATTTTGGGTTCTGAAGAGTTCCCAAAGCTTTTTTTGCCACAGAAGCTTGGTTGAGACATTACCTATCTCCGACTTTCTCCACCTTCAAGTAGTACTAAACAGAATAAACACTATTTTTCACTTGGAAATTTGTATTGGACCCAACAAGTGGAAATCAATATTAAACGAGGAGAAATGACAATATAAGGATTTGAAATCACTAATAAATCCAAAAAGTTTAAGCTAATGGGTTACGATAAATCTAATCTTTTATAGATATCTTTAGGGATAATAACACAACTAGCAATTTTTAAGCACTTAATTACAGAGATGTTTAAATAATCTAATATTTACATATTTAGGCTCGTTTATGATGGGGCTTAAGTGAAAATTACCATACTACCCATATTACCTATATTCATATATTTTTAATAAATGAATAAAACTCTAAACCTTAAATCCTAAACCCGAGACTCACTAGAGACAATTTCTTTGTTTAATAAAAAATAAAACCATAAATATTAAATTCTAAATCCCAGACCCTAAACCTAAACACTAAAAAAATAATATACGTCTGAAAATTCAAGAAGAACGCTGGAAAATTAAACAAGAATAAGTGCATTGATTAGTTACTATATTTGTTTAATTATTTTTAAAATATTATCATTTAATCATTAATGTAAATATTTGCATTAAATGACCATAAATTCTGACTGAGAAAGAATACATTTTAAAATATAATAATAAATGTAATATAATGACATTTATTGAAGGCAATTTGAGAAACTTATTTAAATATTGGAAATCTAGATTTTTGTAAATATTTTTTAAAAAATAGACATTTGTGGAATATTATGTATAATATGATCCCTAGAGACAACTTCTTCTGATATCTTTAACACTATGTTCGGATTGACAATTTATTTTAAGAATTATTAGATGGGTGTTTTGTTTTGTTTTTTTTTATTTTTAATGTCAAATTGAATAAAGAAGTTTAGACTTTGGCTTTTTTCTTTGGAAGTCCAAGCCCAAGTCTATGTAACATGACCCATGAAAAGTCCATGTATATACTTTTGTTTTTGAAAAGTTTGGAACTGGGTGCAAAACTAGTACTATAGGGCCCAGTTTAACAAATGTAGCCGCCCATGAAACAAAATGGGATTAGTAGATTGATAGCCTATTTAGAGACTATAATTACATAATTAGAAAAATAAGCCCAAATTATCATTTTCTAGCAAATCTGAGCCTAACTCAAATAGTTAAGACATGTATCTCTTATCAAAAGATCGTATGAACTCCCTTCCTTACATGTTGTACTAAAAAAAATTAAGATGACTTTTTTTTTTGAAGTACAAACTAAGATGATTAAAAGAATAAAATCTTATCACTTCATTGTTGACTGATTCACTCACTATACATAGATGAATAACCTTTTTATAGTGAACGAGTGAATCACTGAGTTAAATCTCGTACCTAGCTCATCTGGAAGTAGCTATCTCTGACTGTTACCAAAAATTTGTGAGTTCAAATCTCCACCTTCACATGCTGTTGTATTCAAAATTTAAAAAAAAAAAAGCCTATAATTTGTTACAATAATTTAGTCCCTAACGTTTTAAAAGTTTCTTTTGGTGGAGGTGGACTGATATCATTTTCATTTTCTTTTAGAATATTACCATTAAATTAATAGAGTCAAAATTCAAGTCCATGATTTTTAAAGGAAATTTTGACATATCAAATTATGTTAATGTTAGTTATCATTCTTCAATTTCTTAGGATTAGCAAAAGGCATATTAGGTGCATTATTGCTAAAAAATCAGTGTGACTTGTAAGATTTAATATCTTATATGTTTTTGGCAAGCGTAGGGGTTAGATGGTTGTCCAGTTGAAAGTGTGCGTAAACTGTCCCGAAAAGTACTTACGTGTATATGTACGTATGTATCTATCTATATATATAAAAGACCAACCTATTATTTTTATTTTTTTATTTTTAAAAATTATGTTTGCATCTTCACAATTATTTTGTTATGATTTTCACTTAACATTTAAAATTTTTAGTTTCAAAAAAGAAAATACTTTGCTTTTTAACCGTAAGGAGCAGACTTGTTTCACTACTCAATCTCTTAAATGTTTAGCAACTAAGGAAGAGATGCAAAGAATATGGTGAATATCTTTTCTAAAAAAATTGTGAGTTAGTCAATATTTGTGAGGACAAATTTCAGGAGTCAAAGTATATTTTTTAAAAAGTATTTTTCTTTAAAAAACAAAGACAGATTTTAAAAACCACTTCTTTTAGTTAGTTTTTAAATGTTGGTCTAGATCTTGACAACCATAAATAACAAAATATATATATAAATATATATATATATATATATATATATATTATATTCAAACCATGAAACTAGTATTTGTGAAGTAATTGAGTTATTGAAACTAAAAATAAAATAATTATCAACGTTACTAAATGTTTTTATTCTTAACTTTAAGAACAGAAAACCCTTTTAAGTTTGACCCAGGTAGATCATATCACATGTTTACTTTTATTTTATTTATTGTACATATTTTTGAGTCATTTATTAGTCTACGTGAATTTATCAATTTAGGTATGCTCAATTGATTGAAGATATACTAAAAGGTTAAAGGTTCGAACCCACCTCACATGCATATTGAACTAAAAAAAAGGTCTAACATTAATTTAAAATGGACGTTTGTGATCTAGAATAAATTGAGATTATCCATAAAGTTTACTTTCCTTATCATTTATTAGGGATTTTGAGGGACTTGATTTTCGTCATTTTTGCATGTGAAAAAAAGGACTCAGTAGCTAGTTTTAATAAAATTTAGGTTAAATTACAAGTTGAACTCGTAAATTAAACTCCTAGAATTTTGACCACTAGGACAAGTTTAACAAAATTCCAATAAGGTCTCCTAAATTTTCAACCAATCTTATAGCGGCTAAATTTAAAAACTATCCAATTAAGTCTATGAATTTTCAACTTTATGTTTAATGAATCTATAAACTCTAACAAATTTCTAATAAGATAAAGATTTATTAGACACAAAATTGAAAGTTCAAAACCTATTAATTGAAAATCGAGATACTTATATTAAACAATTTTAAGTTTTTAACAAATTTAGGAATGGATCAGTGACAAAGTTTTTAAATTACAGAAATTTATTACATGGTATAACCTTAAAAGTTAAAAGTATCTAACTTTTAAGTAATTAACCTGCTCACCAGTTGAGCTGAAAAAAAAGGAGTACCTAACTTATCAATTAACCTAAATTTATCAATGATTAGCTAGATGGATGATTTATATTATATATATATATATATATATATATAAAAAGAATCTCAAAGCTTTTTTTTTTTTATAATTGCAAATTTTAGTATATAAACTGTATTAGTCATTAAAACTGGGTTTTTTTTAATATTGTTGTAAATAAAACTTATTTTAAAAATATAGTTGTTTAATTAAAAATATTGTAGATTTTGAAACTTATTTTAAAAATATTGTAGTTTTAAAAAACTTAAGGTTCGAGACGAAGACCATTTAGACGTGGCGCCACGTAAACTTTTTTTTAAAATTTGAACGTTGATCGTCTCTCAGACCATGTGGTCGGTTCATTTCTCGAAAAAAAAAGGTATAATGTTTTATATTATGTATTATTTAGTAGCTTTAAGTCAAATGATTCCTTAGTGGTATAGTGGGTATACTCTTGTTTAATATC